ACTCTCTTTCTCTGTTAATACTCTGGATGCCAGCGTAAACCTGTTCCTGTCTCTGCTCAGAGCCTCACAATATTAATGATGACACTGCTTATGGGAGCAGACCAGCCCCACCGTGGCAGTGAATACAGGCAAAGCTCCCCCTGCCATCTGAAGGAAACAATTTGTGTCAAGATGAAGTATAGATGGCCACACACAGCCCAGTCTAGATAGAAGAATCTAGAATCCTTAGTGGCTAAAACAAAGAGAGAGATTTCAAAAAGGTGTTTTGTTTGTTTGTGTTTCTTTTTCTTTCTTATTTTTCTTTTTACTTTTTTTTCTTTTTCTATTTTTTTTTGAGGGTGTGTGTGTGTTAGAATTTTATTCATGAATTTTCCAGGGGGATTTCATGCTAGGACAACAAAGGTGAGGGGAGGAGCAGAGATGGGTACAGTAAAAGAGGGGAGACTGGCAGCAGGAGTTGGGAAGAAGGGATTCTTTACAGAGACAATGTGGGACTCCCGGTTTTTAAAAACGTGCCCTGTCCCTGAGACAGTCCCTCCACCGTGTGCCCTTTGTTTTCTCAGCCCCACTTCTCAGTGGCTTTCTTCACCTGCCTCTCTGTTCTTGCTGTGTTTACCCAGCGTGGCTCTAACTGCCTTCCTGGTCTCCAGAGTTCATGTACTCATCACCCCTCCCCCTTCTCTCCTTCCCTGTTTGAATCTCCCCTCAGGTCTTCCCCACTCCTCTCTCCCAATCTGTCCTGCTCCCAGATTTATCTTTCCCAACCCTCCTGCCTTCCCTCTTACATGTCAGCCCTTTCCCCTTCTGTCTCTCCTTCCCCTCTTCCTCACCTTCCTCCCTTCCCCTGGCTCTCCTCTCTCCCTCCTTCCCCTCTTTCCCTTGGCCCCCTCTCTGCCTTTCACCCTTTCTGCCCTCTCTCCTTGCCCATCTCCCCATCCCCTGTCCTTGCTCCTCTCTCTTCCCTTTCTTCCTCTTTCTGTGCTCCCCCTCTCTGATCTGGTCCTCCTTTATACAGCTCCAAATTCTTGCCTTCTACATTTACCTGCAGACCAAGACACCGCTCCTCTTGCAAGGACTGTTTAAGAAATCCATACCCTCTCCTTTCATTCCTTGGGCATTTCAGAAATGATATTCCTCCCCCAACTACCCCGTCAAAATAAAATGAATTCAGCCAGCTCCTGCTGTGTGTCCTTAAATTCATTCCCTCTAGCTTTGCTGGTTTGAAAGCCTGTACCCTAGAAGGGGCCTCCTGCATTTGCTGGCAACCCTGCTTGAGCCTGATCGTCACAGATAGTGCTTTGGAGTGAAAAAAAAAAAAGGGGGAAAAACCCTCTCGTTGGAGATTTCAAAACAGATTCTACCAGCTTTCAAATCTGTGCACTTTGCGGAGTGGCAGGGCTTGAGGAAGAGGGGTTGAAGACTTGGGGTGTGGGTGTCTCTCATAAACAAATAAGCAACAGAATTTATATATGTATAAATTTGTGCTTTCCCTTGGCATGTTTGGTGTCTGTCTCCCTGGCATCAAGGGTGGGCGTTGTGTAAGTCTGACTTCGCTCACACTTTTGCTCCGGCTTGGGGTATGAGTGTCTGTGTGAGTGTGTGTGATGGAATTGAGGAGGGGGTTGCTGTGTTTTTGATCCGATTCACTTGACAGATTATTTGAATCCAGCCCACCTTTCCGCACATGTCAAACAGATGGGATCATTGTTAGAAGCCTGGAGAGCCGGGCTGAGCGGTGGGTAAGGCAGGGAGGGGGAGGCAGGAGGGGCACCGAGGGGGGAAGGAGGGGGCACCTTCCAGGAGCTTTGTGTTTTCACACATTAGAACTGACAGGAGACCTTCTTCTTTGTGGGTGGGTGGGGGAGTATTTGGGGGCATGGGGCTGGTGAGGGGGGTGGAAAGAGAGAGAGGTGGGGTGTTGGTGGGCAGGGTTATGATGTCACAGCCCAAGTTACAACAGGAGGAAAACACAGAAATGGTTCAACATTTTTTTTTTAAACTTTGGACTGCCAAGAGCTGAAGAGTGGTGTGCA